AGAGGGTCCACAGTTGTTTTATGATCACTACCTGGCTGAAGAGGCCAGGGAATTTGGGGTCACTGGGACACTAAGGGTAATAAACAAGAGATTAGATCTAAAAGCCAACAAGAGGAAGACAACTTCAAAAGACAGGGCAATATACAGACACACACAGGCAAGACAGTTGAATTAGCCAAACGGGAAGCCATGTGTCAAATAGTGTAACAAAGAAAGGGGTGAGTGTAGGTATTTAGTCAGAGTAGGTTTTTCCTCCATCTTTAGGAACCTGCCTTTCCCATTGGAGCAGAAAGGATGCAGGAGGAGGACGGATGGATACATGGACCAATAGAACAGCACGAGAGGACCGGACCAGTTTACAAGGGCACATTTGAAATTGTATAAAAACAACTGAATGGAGGAGGACAGCGTTCCTTCTCCTCCTGTAGTCAGGTTGAACGGTTTTGCTGTTGAGGTCAGGGCTTCAGATAGAGATGGAACCCAGAGCTCTGTAAATTGCTTTATTCGATGGTCTGTTTAGTTATGATAATAAATGTTTGAAAATTGATATTCGATTCCGATTATTCTTCATGAAAGAACACGCTACAGGGCCTAGCTCAGGAACATCAGCAGAACCAGTGCATATTTGCTAATTCTGAAACTGTGTGGACTGGCTTGCTGTATAGAATATGTGTGATCACTTACTACAGAAACAAATGCAAACACCATGGATATGCACATGTAAAACAACGTGTCAGAAAGTAAATGAGAGGTCAGATGGGTCATGCTGAGAGGGGGGCCATCGCCTAATAAAAGTGACAGAACTGACTCCCCCATTCTGTTAAAAGCATTCCTTAATTCCAGACCTCAGTCATAAAATAAAATAAAAAAACTCCTAAATCTGCCAGTAGACTCACAAATCCAGCTTGTTCTTTAAAAAAGCTACTGCGTATATTACAGGTTAAGATATTCTATAAATGGCCAACTCTGTGATAGAGATACAGTATGTCCTTAGGGTTTATGTATACCCTAATGTAAAGATTAACCTTGCTATTTGCATTGTAAATACCTTGAACAAGAAGTTATATTGTGAATGCTGTATTTGGCCAGTACTGTGTTTTGAGACTGCTGTGCTTTGTTACACTTCACTTAGTACATCGGTAAGCGCACCAGCACCTCTTCTTCCTGAGGACACTGAAGAAGAACCACCTGTCTTCAGCCATCCTGGTGAACTTCTACTGCTGTGCCATCGAGAGCATCTTGACCAGCTGTATCACAGTCTGGTATGGAAACTGCTCTGTCTCTGACCGCAAGGCGCTGCAGTGGGTGGTGAAAACTTCACAACGCATCACAAGGACTCCACTTCCAGCCATTGAGGGTGTCCACAGGGAACGCTATCTCCGACGTGCTCACAGCATTCTCAAGGACTCCTCTCACCCTGCTCATAAACCGTTTGACCTCCTACACTTCAGGAGCCTCCGGACCAAGACCAGTAGACTCAGGAACAGCTTCTTCCCCACAGCTGTCTCCTTACTGAACTCTGTCCCCCGCTGACCCCCCACTGCCTTCCTCTACACACACCTTACCCCTTCTCATTTGTCCTCCTAGGACTAATGCAATATGCTTCTGTTACCTTTAACACTGAAGTGATCTGTTAATTTGCACATAGAATACACAGAATACTGCTCTGCTATTCATTTGCACACTGTACTGTACATATGCAGATACTGTATATTTATCATTGCACTATTTACATACATTGAACTGTTAACTCATGTAACTTATCTTATCATTCTGCGCTATTTCATTCCATTTCATCCTATTACACTAGTGTTTTATAAGCTTACTGTACATTATCCATTACTTGTAATTTAAATTCATAAAGTCTGTTGTATATTGTACATTACCTTATATATCTTATTGTAAATATCAATTGTACATATCGATAAATTAGTTCTGACTGTTCATACTGTAGATACTGTGCACTCTGCACTGCTGGTTAGATGCTGAACTGAATTTACTACAGAAACAAATGCAAACACCATGGATATGCACATGTAAAACAACGTGTCAGAAAGTAAATGAGAGGTCAGATGGGTCATGCTGAGAGGGGGGCCATCGCCTAATAAAAGTGACAGAACTGACTCCCCCATTCTGTTAAAAGCATTCCTTAATTCCAGACCTCAGTCATAAAATAAAATAAAAAAACTCCTAAATCTGCCAGTAGACTCACAAATCCAGCTTGTTCTTTAAAAAAGCTACTGCGTATATTACAGGTTAAGATATTCTATAAATGGCCAACTCTGTGATAGAGATACAGTATGTCCTTAGGGTTTATGTATACCCTAATGTAAAGATTAACCTTGCTATTTGCATTGTAAATACCTTGAACAAGAAGTTATGGGGGCTACAACTTGAGATGACCACCTGAGAGACACACACACCCACGTACCTAGATTTACCATATTTCAACATGGAAGTGCGAGCTCCGGCTCACACCAAATGACCAATAGGATCACAAACTATTGAAGGTTGCACCTCTGTCCAGGGGGGAGCAGCCCAAGAAGATAAAATGTATTGTAAGAACTTAATTCTGGGTCAGTGGATGGACCTCCAGCAGGAGCTCTATCTCTCTGATCCCAGCGCTGTGAGGCCTACCTGTGATCAGACATTCAGTAAACTTTCTGTTGATTTTAAACAGTCCTCTCCTGGCTTCACTTCTCGTACTTCCAACAAAAGAATCGGGTTAATTTCTAACAATTGCCTTGTATTGTACATGTGTAATGACAATAAAGTTGAATCGAGTCTAATATAATCTAAACTCTAGGGCCATAATGGGATGGATGGCTCAGCACTACAGATCCATGCAATGGGTGCGTTACATTTAAAATAACAATAATGAGCCATTATGCCATCAAACACATTATTTATAGCAAAAATGTGGTGCTTAATAACTCATAACACACTGTCTCATTCAGCCAGTAAGAACTTAGGGTATTGTGAGGCATGTTCCCATACTAGGTATTTCTTTCTGGTTCCAATTAAAACTACTCTGTGTGTGTGTGCATATGGTTCTACCTTTGGAGTTTTCTCCTCTTCCTGGCTCCAGATCTAATCTCTGTTTACTAACCAAGGAGTCCCAGTGAACCCTATTTCCCCTGGCTTCATCAGCCAGGTGGTGGTGATAAAGTAACTGTGGACTCTCTTCGCCAAAGTTGTAAATCTAATGAGATTCAGTGATTTAGTGAACAAGTCCCTTTGATGTTAAACAGTGCTCCAGCTGGCTAACACAGTATATATTGACCAGTAATTCAGTGAACACATAAGGTGATATGTAACTATGTAAACATAACTGTGAGATAAAAATGTGTAGACTTATGTGTGCTATAAAATAAAAACCTTAACTAATCCTATTAATTTTCATAAAAATAAAAATCATCCTAACAGTATTTATAATACCTTATTGTGAATATGTGGCTTTCAAATGGATGTAAGCAAATAAAAAGCATGACCAGTGTTGTGGCAAACCCTGATGCTGCTGGGCTTATGAGGCATTTCAGTACATTTTGTTTCACTCTTTAAAAAGGCCTCTCAGCAACACTGTATTTATCTTAATGTTTAGACCTCTGTAGTAGGTTCTGAATACTATTTCATATAATCTTATAAATAATCTAATCTGTGTTCTACATGTATACAGATTAATTATAGAAAATGTGTAACTCATGGTACATTTTATACAGTACTATAGGTTATTTGTGAATTACATTTTGTAAATCTAGTAAAATCCTCCATTGTTCCTGTGCAGTCAGGGTTATATTGTGCCACATCTGACATTACACCTAATGTTTGAAATATTACTGCATGTAGTTCCACAGGCAGCAAGAGCTTTTTTAAAAACATTTTTAATAACAGAGTAGAAACAGTGTTATTTTAAATGGACTTTCAAGAAATAACTGGTACTGTATAAATCCAACTCCAGTACAGATATACCCAAGCAGAATACAAATCTTTGTCACTGTAGTAATGAATAAAAGAGACATTTGAATAGAAAAATATTTCAACACAGTTATACAGGGTACAATTGGCCAGCAATTGCACAAAAAACACAGTGAGAGCAATAAAAATCAATCATAACTTCTATAATAATTCATTTCTTTTTTAAATTAAAGTATAGCATGAAATTTTAGTTTGGGTCATTTTGATGAAAGCTGACTAATCACTGGAGAACAACTGAAAACTCAATTGCATACAGTGTATTTGGCTCCTTTTAAAGGCACCTGGGAAAACAGTAATTAAGGCAAATGTTAGCTGCATCAAATAAAAATATTTTACTGCATGACCTTTTGATGGTCCATCAATCTGAAGAAGTGTTCCACCATATAACGTTCATATAACGCTGCACATACAAAAATTCAGGCTTCGACACAACACACTCCTCCTAGCATACTGTTGGAGACACTACCTAGAGCAGATATAGGCCAAGTGTTAAATGATTTTTCATTTTGACCTACAGTATATCTGATCCACATTTCTGAGGTGTATGATAAAAAAACACCAGCACATTCCAAAGTCCATCCTATCACTTGGTTGTTTCTCAGAGAAAATAAACCTCCTTATAATTTGCATGACATCCAAACTGTGCAAGTCATATTTAACATCTGCAATAATATGCCTATACACAGCTTGGTTTCTCTTTCTTTGCAGACATCCTCAAACCTATTTACAAAACACAAGAGCATCATGCAGTTACATTCTCTTCCGCTATTCAACTTGAAGGCAGTTTCCGTTTTGCATGATGGCAGGGATGCAGAGGTTGAGGTTAGGCACTCTCCTGTAGACAAAGTGGAAGATCTGTGCACGGGGCCGGCTGTGGAGCTCGGCTTTGATTCGTTGAGGGTGTGTGTCAGGAGCGAGCTGCTGGCTGGTGTCCTCAGTGACCAGAAACAGTGCATAGTTCTCAGGGTCAGGGAGGCTGAATTTGTAAGCGCAGAGTGAGCAAACCTCTTCTGTGGTGGTGTAAGGGTGGACAACCAGGGTTTTGGCTGTGCAGCCTGTGTCCCCTTCTTGCAGGGCTACACGGAGATAGTTCTACAGAGTGAAAGTCACAGGTTAAGATTTGGCAAAGTTGACAGAATTCTCCACAGTGAATGAAAGAAGCATTACTGGCAGAAATAATACATGCAGTTGCAGTAAATGCCATACAAAGAAAGGACATGCAGTACCTAAATGTTCCACTAGAGTGTGCTTCTACCCAAAGTATAACACGACGTGCAGATCCGCATGCTGTGATGTTAGTAGAACTCAGATAAATTCCCTTTCGCTGACGAGGGCCCAGACACAGCACGTTTCATGCACATTTCCAGGTTGGAATTTGAAGTTTGGATTTATTTGGAATTGGTACAATTTAGACTCACTGCTTGGATGATCAGTGTGGGTTCAGGTCAGGCGTGATACCTGAAAGTCGTCCACAGACGGCACTGAACGCTGGGTGGTGCGTCGGCGGTGCCACTGGTGCAGAGTGTTCCTGGCCTCGGAGCTCAGCACCCGGGCTGCTTGATCCTCCTGGAAGTTCTTGATGAGGGCCATGGCTCCATAAGCACTGGTCAGGTAGTAGCCCCCTGAAAATGGAAAGCAAAGGAATATGGTTGAAGGATGAATGGAGAAAAAAGAACAGGACAGAACTTAAAGAGAACCATATCAGGGCTAGTTATCTAGAAACAAAACCATCTGAAATGCAATGATGTAAAAAGTTAAGTTTCAAACACTTCCTCTTTTGAAATTGAAATGAATTAGATTTTTTTTTAAATAATTCAAAATTCAGAGAAGGCAACACACCACATACTTTCCATTAAAGCAGTTGTTGAGGTACCATGAGCCGACATGCCAGACAGGCTGACGCTGATAGGAAAATATTGAATTCTGGGAGGGTTTTCCTCTGAAGCCCAGTCACATCTAACACTGACTGGAATTTCCTTCCTGTGCCTGCCTGTATTTTTCAAGCTTGTTAAACAATGACCTGAACACCACAAAGACTGCAGGGAAAATCTTCCGATATTGAATATGTCACCCCCACCCACAATCTCTAATGATACAAACCATTCCCAGCCATTCAAATGGAAGTATGACTTCTGTGGACACACAAAAGTGCTTGCCCTGGACAGACCTTCCATTGACCAGGTTATACAACAAGGTGGACTCGCACCACACTGTAATGTGCCTGACTTCACTCTTCAGGTAAACAGCTCAGGAGCCTGTGGTATTTGTGTAGTGTTTGACCCTCCAGTTACACATCACTTACTCAGGTAAAAGGAGAATTTCTGGGTTTTCCGTTTGTGCTCTTTTCTTATTAGAACTGAACTATACTTTAAGGTTTTAAAAGAATAGTTCAACATTTTTGGAAATGCCCTTATTCAAGAGTGAAATGAGAAGATCAATGTCAATCTCATGTCTGTGTGTTACATATAGGCTACAGAGGTGGAGTAAAGCTCACTAATTAACAGGTTGAAGCTACAGTAGTGTATTTAATATGCAAGCAAACAACAATCTGTGGCATTAGAAGAAGCTACATTCTGGTAGCTAAGCTAGGCTAACCACATACCGACTCTTAAAGGGCTATACATGCGTTGTGCGTCTTTATATCTGCTTTGGTCAAGTGAATTTTTGTCATCTTCCCAGGTCCTCGACGGTCTGTGCAGACTCTGCGTGCAGGCCAAAAGTTTGTGTCTGCACAGAAGGTGCACAGAGCAAAAGCCCCGACTACAATGCTTGGAAAAAGTCAGCATATGCAGACAGAAGGCAGACCTTTGATTTGAAGTATAAACAGGAACGCACGCAGGTCCCTTATCCCTGTCTGCATATGCATGAGGATATGCACAAAGTATGTCTGTCCCTTAATACACAGACACGAGGTAAAGGTTATGTATGATATTTTACTGTATTGCGTGCCAGTTTTTAACGTTGCATTCTGAATAAGACATGGATCACTTAAAGTCAAAAATCAGTACCAACAGGACCTACCCTCTCCTCCGAGCAGAGATGGGTCCAGCAGTTCCATCATGTACTGGATCTCTGTGTCCAGCTGAGGCATGTCACACTGAGCCAGCACATAAGTAAGCATGGGCAGGAAGTCATCAGCACCAAACATCCTCCCTGGACACAAGCAGTGTGAACTGATACATTTGATAGAATGGGATTCTATCTGTTCTGTGAGAAATGCGAGTGATGGATGCGAGTGTGGTGTTTCGCTGCTTGACAGAGAGTTGTAGATTGCAAAATGAAAAACAAGAGTCTAATCAAACTAAAGCTAGATTATTTGTAAAATTTGTTTTAGCCTCAGGCTTTCTGTTAACATGCAGGGCAAAAAAATTGCATCCAACGCTTTTCCATACCTGAGTTATCCTGCATGATGGAGTAGATAAGTTTGCACACACGCAGCAGCAGCGACACCTTTTTCTCAGGCGAGTACATCTTCCTCATTTTTAAGAACTTGCGGCGGATTTTCTCAATAGCCATTGGATCAGGGGGCACTACCCCATCCACGCCTAGCTCCTGGGGCCGCTTAGTCTTAGCCAAGGCCAGGTTCTCTCTCAGCTGCTGCCAAGCTCCGCTGCTCACCTAAAAAGACATAAACAGATAATTTACTGAGTCGCCCAGATGTGACTGTGTTTCTGCTGTCTCCTGTAAGAATCAACCTTTATGCGTGTTTTTCAGCTTGTTCAAAGCTACTGTATCCTCATTTTTTCTCCCTTTGCTTATTTCCAGTCAAGCATCTCCAACAGCGGACATAATATCCTTGTAAGATAAAAAAAACCCTGTTAATGTCTCACCTGGAAGTCATGTAAAATCCCCTCGATGACGCTCTGCAGAGGCTTCAGGACACACTTGTGCATAGCCTTCTCTAGCACCTGGTCTGTATAAGATAACAGGCAACACACACACACACACATAGAAGCCACAGATGAAAGAGGAACATACATTTTTGACTGGCAAAGCATACAGAAATAATGGATACTTTAAGAAAATAAATGAGAACTATTTTACACGGGAAAATGTGTCATTATGTATTGTGTCATTTACAGACCAAAACAGCTGTGTTAGCAGCTATAGTCTCGGTGGCGCTGCCTGGTCATCAAGTTGGTCACCACCACTCAGTCAATTACATTCAACATGTTATACAAAGTCAGTTGACAGCTCAACCTGAACTATAATAGAGTCAGTAATACTGAAATGAAACTTAGCTCACATCTCCCATTGGCCAGTAATCCCATGATTCGACCAAACACCCAGAGTGTGTTAGTCCATCTACCAACACCTTCCAACGTCCCTACTCTGTCTGTATCTCTCAGCCTTGGTCAATTCATTCAAATGTACAGTTTTATTTTATTAAAAAAGGCTGGGAAATTTGTAAAGGAAATGTTACTCACAGCAGAAAACTAATTCAACAGTTTGGCAGTGAAAGAAAGTCTCCTGGGATATATTTATCCTGCATCTGATCTCCAGCAAAACCAACATTTCATTCTTAGATAGTATACATACAGTAAAAACCACATTTCTACATTTTAAAAAGACATGAGAGATGCAAATACTCCCTGAGTCAACTGAATAAAAATTCAGCAACTATATTGATAATAACACACCCTTTTAAATATTTTTTTTTCAAGACAAACTACCAAATTGTTGTTGCCACCTCCTCAGATCTGAGAATCTGCTGCTGTTCTTTATCCTTATAGGACAGTAAATTAAACATTTGGGGTGTTTGGGTGCACAACTTCTAACACTGTTCTACCAAGACTGTCAAACAAAGGAAGAATACACTATTAATAACCACAGTGAGGAAACTACATTATCACCAACACCAATACAAATTCTGTATGGGTGTAGGAGTGAAGGCAAGTCTACAGGGTCATGAGGTGGGCCCCCTCTTACTAACTGGTGTTTCACTGAGTTGGGCCCACAACACTGAGAAGGCTCAACAGTGTCTTCCAGAACCACCTTCTCTTTGCCTGCACCCACACACCCAACACAACCCTTCATCTACTCAGGTTAATTCAGGCTAACTGTTACCAGTCACTAGAACTAGCAAACATTTCAACTGCTGTTCTAGCCACCAAACATTTAAAATACAGTAGCTCACTAAACATTTCAAATAGCTCACCAGATAACTAGCCATACTTCTGCTACCTTTTGTGCTGCACAGAAACCAGCCTGTGTTGGTATTCACTCCAACAAACCTTCTAATTATGTCCTCATGTTAGCTTTCTCATACTAATGCCAGCAAGTAGGCCTCACGCCTGCCACATGCAATGAGCATTTTGTTAAGCCTGTCCTCTTATGCTAGTTTACTTCAGCTGATAAGGCATACTCCACATGTATGTCAGGTAGATTCCTAATTACCAGTCTTAGACTCTGCCCTTTAATACCTAACAGAGAGACTGTTGAATTGGCTACAAATGCCCTAGAACCAACCTCGACTGAGTGGACTTTAACTTATGTAATGACACCTCTTTGTGCTCCAAGTTCCTGCAATGTGCATTTTTTATCAGGGCAATCATCATCAGTAGATGACTTCATGATCACAAGTACTGTTAGTTGCAGCCCTAACCTTTAAGCAACAAGATTAATAAACAAATAACCTCAAAGTCTGACATTCAAAAGTCAGGCTTTTGAAAAAAAAAAGGGGGACTGTATGTAAAATCAAACTTAAAACTGAAAATAGTGATGTGTAAATCATCTGTGTCCTGTATTAGATTGAAAACAACACAGCAGCACATTGTTTGATACCTCATCAGTTTTACTTATTTATTCACACAACACTATTGCCAGTTAGTTTGTTGTTTTTTTTACAAAGAAGTCTGAACCACCTTTTCTAAGTAGCGTTAGTTAACCAAACTACATTTCTCCCTAGGGTAGCTTTGCAGCTTTGCTGTACTTCAACTTCTGAAGTAATTGCTAGTTTGCAAAGCAATGCTTTCAAAGTAACTTCCCCAGCATTGCTGACAAGCAATAAAAAGCTGCACTTGGTCTCTACAATGGCTCCATCTGTACATACATTCACAGCTTTCAAATCATTTTCTGCCCACCTCAGCTATGTCCAGTATGTCACATTGATACAGTTGTGTCTTATTGTTCACTAGCAGAAGTGACGCAACTCTTTATGCAGCACAGGCATCCCCAGCCTCCGGGCAGTGTTGATGCCATGCTTGTGCAATGAGCTAAGCAGAACAAAATGCTCTGTGACCATGTAAACAAGTGAGCATGCACATACACAAATCCTGTTCAAGAAACGTTGCAGTGAATCAGAGGAACAACTGAAGGAACACAATTAAAACACAACAATCCACCACTCTCTAAGGGCAGGTCTCAGGCATTTGCAGTGGGAGAACAATACAATCAGTTCCTTATGTGCACACAAGGAAGGGTGCAGAGGCTATTCAGGACACATCTTGCATGTACATACAAGCACACATTGCTCTGACTGTGGAGTTCCTGATTCCCTCCAGAAAGTCTCATTTCCCTTGTATGCTAAGCAATGTTTCCTTTTGGGTTTTACCTAAGCTACAGTCTGTTCAAAGGCCTCCATCAACTGCAATAAACTGTAGGAGAGTCTGTGATTTACAGTGTATATTCACACACCACAGCAGTATCCACATAAACTAAAAACACTCAAAGAAATGAACATAAAAGCAAACTTCCAACTTTGTGCAGTTTTCTGATGTATAGCCCAGAAAATACATTTCTGGCTCTCAGAAACAAAATTAAATATACTGCAAAATGCGGACCTCTAGTTCCCCTTATACCACAAACACAAAAGATTTAAGAGTCAGACTTAAGCATTTCTTACCCAAGGTGTAAGAGTTCCAGCCAGAACAAAGCTACACTCCTATCAGTCTTTGTGTAAACACCCTGGATAGGAGCACAAACAACAGCTTAGCTCTATTTCTCTCTTTTTTAAACTTATTCTTTGGTAATAGCATGTCAACAGACTGTGTGGTCTCTGCATGTATTCTATTTTTTTGTTTTGGTTTTCCAGGGACAAATTACCAGTAACAGCTGTAATTTAGCACCAATAACCTTGTCCACCACCTACTGAGCACTTCACTATAAATTTCACTTGTAAAAAACAAGGTTTATTCACACTTCCCCTGTCCAAACGGAATATTTTTGAGAATGAGACCCTTTTATGTGTGTATCTGTGGTCTGTTAGCATAACCAGAATGGATCATTTCTCTCCCTGAACAAGGCTTTGCTGTTTCAGTACTTACAATGAACAAGGGTTGTGAGATGAGTGCAAAGACATGCTAACATATTTATGCAAATATTCTAGTCCACAATAACCTGACTGGAATAAAAAAAACATTTTGATAGAGCTGTTCAAGTCTAAAGACTTTTTGTTTTTACAATCATCAAGACCTCAGTGGAGACTATCAACAATTTTGATTCCATCCAGTAGGATAAAGAATAGCCTCCTCTGCTGCTAATAAGGTGCTTCAGTACTAATAGCACAACAATACTTTTTCAGAACCTTGATCTGACAAATGTACATATTTTTATGTAGCTAAAGTCTAAACACAAGCAGCTCTACAGGAACTGTGCACAAACAAAACTGCATTAAATCAGAACCCATCTAATCACAAAATAATAGCATGAATCTGACCAGATCTGATGTGAGCTTTTGATGCTGTGGAAACATTTTATGGGTACCTATAAAGTATTGCAGTTAAATAACTCCACTAAAAATATAGCTCAGTACAATTTCTGCCTTCGAAAATAAACCTCAAATGCACTGTGAGCTTATGCCACTGAGGACAGGCTAAGAATAACTTAATGGGGCACATCACATTGCCATTCCTGTAACTCAGCACCAGTAATGAGGACTACTATTAAGGAAAGGTGTATGACTGATTCCCAAGCAACACTAAGCAGTTTTACTTCTTCATTTATACTAGTCTGAAAACATGCAAAGAACCAAATGCCGTCAGAGGTGGGATATGACTCAAATGTCACGCATGCCCACACATGCATTGGCACATGTTTCACAAAGTCAGGACACACAAACACACTGTGCAACAAAGCTCAAAAACTACATTCATCTTCATAGTTTTACAGATTCTCAGTCTTCTTGACCAACTCACCGATGTGGTCCTCAGGTATGAGTGACTCTATTGGAGGGTCCAGCTCAGAGCTCTGGCGCAGGTAAGCCTTCATCTGCGTCAAAAACTGCCTGAGAGTCTGAAGAAAATCCATCCCTGATGTGTGGCAGCTTCGGTTCTCCTGAACAAAACTGTTGTAGTCATGAACCAGGGAGCCAAAATAGGAACTTTTGTCCTTGGACAGCTCAGCAATCCGTTTCACTGCCCGTCTCTCCGGTGTCATGAGAGAGCTCAGCATGCAGCCTACCTTGCGAAAGCGTCCCTTCAAGGCCTTGGGGAGCACTAAGGACCCACCACCCAGCCTCACACCAACCCTCCGCCTCTGTGCTTTGAAGGAATGACGAAGGCGCATTTCTAGATCGGTTTCCAGGCCGACCCCATAGTCCTCGTCCTCTTCTTCCCCATCCTCATCCTCTTCACTGCTGTCTTCCACTGGGTCTTGATGTCTGGGGGCCAGACCCAGGGAGAATTCAGGAGACAGCGAGTATTCCAGTGAGTCAGAGGAAGAAGTAGACATGCTCATGTCACTGAGCCGCTGGCGTACCCTTTCATTAGGCCTGGACGGGGTCCCAGTGTTTTTCTTTAGTAGTATATCAGCAGGGACAGTAGGTGGAGGCTGGCATGATGGAAGCTTGGCACGAGACAGGGCCTTGGCTATAGTTTCATCGTCCAAGGCGATGTGGCAGCGCTGGGCTTCCAGATCAGGCTTTTTAGGCCTTGGAGGTGCTTGATTTGAGGGTGCAGGGTTTGGTGAGCTGTGCCTGGCAAGTGCTGGTGGTCGAGTGGGTGTTGGGTTCCTGCTGGAGGACTGGTGCTGCCTTTTAGCCACAGCAGTAGCCTGTGGTGTGCTCTTGGGTCTGATTGTAGCTGCTGGAAACCCAGGGGGAGCTGGGGCGCTGGAAACCGAGTGGGAGCTGGGGCAGGGCGCCGGCGTGGCATTGAACGGGGGGGAGGAGGGCGGGGGGGCCTTGATTTGACGTTCGATTTGATTTTGTCCGTGTGCTGTTCGCCCTCTTCACTGCTGCTTACTGGCTTCATGGACAACTTCCCCTCATTCTCTTGGTTGTTATCAGACTTGACAGCATGTGAAGGAGAATCCTTCTTGCAGCAGTCGTGGTGGTGATGAGTCTGGAGAAACAAGGGGTTAACAAAGCACACGGGGCTGCTGGGATGTTTTCTCTGCAGATCAAAGGAAGGTGGAGGAGTGTGCGACCGTAGGGTTGGGGGCGCACTCTCGCTGTGATCCCCGGTATGCCTCTGCTGTGACCCCTTTGCCTCCCTGTTCCTGTTAGTTCGCTGGGGACTGAGGGTACGGCTCCGAGGGCGACAGGGACGGGGGGATGTGCGCCACTGACTGCACAGGGCAGAATCCCAGAAGCCTGCAATACACAGCCACAGAAACACTTAACTAAGTTTACAGCAGCTGGATTCAAGAGTCTTCAAATGAAAAGATCAGTTAAAGGAAGAACATAAAAGAACAAATATGGCTTTCTCAGAATCAGAATCAGAATCTCAACTATTTCTCACCAACACAGAAGATATTGACTCAAAGTGTCCTTATTTTTTTCTTTTTGCCTGTCCTGCTGCTTGTCTGGGTCTTTTCTCTTACCGTTCGAAGAAGCGTGTTGGCTCAGCTCCGTGACTCTATAGATCTGATTCACTGGAAACAAACACATACCCAGAGACATGGGGAGGGAGTCGCCCATGTTAATCACAGAGTGGGAGGGCACTAAATATACAACAGCAGACATAGCTCCAGTTCCTCCACTCCTTCCTGCTGTTTTTCTCTCTCGTAGTTCGACATAGAGCTGTATTTCCCTGGATCTCCCCTAGCTGAAGAGTAATTGCTGTATGCAAACCTACGGTATACAGTATGATATTCTGCCTTTCCTCTTTCTTTTTTACTTTTATTTATTATTTATGTATTTATTTTTTTGCTTATTTTGGTCTTCCAAATCATTGACAGTGGAAGTCTCCGTAACAGTGGAGGACTTGCCCTCACTCTGATCCTGCTGTGTACTTTTCCACTGAATCAGTCCATTGTCTTCAGCTCTCATGCTAACAGGCTCGGTTTTAATAACCACTTGGAAAACAGAGAGTGAGATTGGGCTGTATCCAAGCACAAACACAAAACACAATGATTTCACCAAACTTAAATGAACAGGCCACAAATCACACACACTTAAAAATGTGCCAATGACACATCTCTGTAGCATAACCCAGTGATGCCTGGTCTCGTAACCTAAAAATGGAAACTGCTTTCTTGGGGCAATAAAGAAGCAGGTCCAGCTAGTAGAGCAGTTTTAAATGTCTTATAATATGCCAGTGTACAGAGATTGTGGTAGTCTATGATGATCCATGTGAGCAATAGCTACCTGGCACTGTGGTGTCTGTCTGCACTGCAACGCAACACTGTAGCCAGTAACACATATAGTGTAATACCACACTAACTTCATTACATTCTTCAAATGTAGTTGTTTTAACCATTTCTTCATGCTTATTTTTAATATATATTTATTTCTAGGTGAAAAATAGACAACTGTACCTTTTCTAGGTGGAATTATTCTGCATAATGTTTCCTTCTTGCCTCAACACCAATTTTACCAGTTATTTCAAAAAAGTGTTGTTTTCAATTGGCGAGATGTCCAGGGTGGACCCCTCCTCTTGCTCAGTGTCAGCTGGAACTGGCTCATGATAAGCAGTATAGGTAATGGATGGATGTTGTTTTCATCCACTAATGTGAGCCTTTGTTTTTTTTTTTAGGGGCATGGTTAAAATTCTTACAATAACCGCTGCAGTTGTTTCCAAATACAGGTCTACCATGAACTGGAATTGTGCCCTTTGGGGCACACCTGAGTGAGAGATGTGTCACTGGCACTTCCTTAACAGCAATCAAAGAATAGCTAAATTGAAAGCTGGGAAGACACTGTATCTTGTTCAGTCAGGGGATAGTGGGAGCGCAAAAATTCACAGGTTTTGGTCAATAAAGATCAGTGCCTGTCCAGCTTTAGAGAAGTATAGTTCAGAATAAGTATATCTGTTACAGCCTGCTGATAGAAACAGAACTGTGCTAGATATAGATTAGGTGAGTTAGCTAATACATAAAAACACCTTCCTTGTCCTATGGGGAGGCAAATAATGGGCAAAGTCATTGGATATTTAACTGTCTAAAGTAGTTTGCAACATATGTTGTGTTTTGGGCATGTGCCCATATTCCACAACTTCACCGCAGTCTTAAACAGAGTACGGTACAGTGGAGAAGGGGACTTTCCTTTCATAAATGCATACATTTGCTAAGAAAGGCATAGAAGCTGGCTCATAATTAAAGACTTTTTATACCTCACATCAAACATAAGAACCACAATGCACAAAGCATTACAAAGCAGGCCAACTCCCACTTCCATTCACCACATGCATGCAAATACAATGACAGCTCTTCATGTTTGTAAGTAATACAGTTTGCTGCACATATACTTAAAAGCCTTATGTGTATCATACCTAAATGTGTTGTGATGGTACTGTATGTATGTGTTTAGATGGCACACAAGTCTACTGTAGCTTTCCACTTGCTGCTCCCTTCTCCCCCACACCGAGCTATGTAGTAGGCTACCTCATTGCAGTTTCACAGCAGCTGAGCCTAGAATAACATGACAGATGAACTGACTAAGACTGCTGTGAAATTTAACTGGTCATCGCAAATTATCAAACAAACCTAAACAAAACCTGAGCACACAGTACTGACTGTTTTATCTCCTTTTGCATTGCTTGGCTGACTGCATTTTATAACACATATAGCAACATTCGCGCTAAAAAGAATGGGGTATATTAAAAGTAATCCAGTCTTGTGTTGCAGACATCGATAAAGATATTAATACCCAGTTAAATGTGCCGAAAGTTTGGTAAGCATTCCTAAGGAAGCCCAGAGTTAATGTTATATGAAATTTAGACTGATGACTGGACCCTGCAGTGGGTATTAGACCAGTGCCATTACAAATCTGCTGGGCCCCAGGTCAGTAACTTGACTACTACACTCAAGCAAAGAGTAAATACTCAGTGACTTGACGCACTCTCATATCTTATATCTACTTAGGCTTATCTCCCGTGGGCCTGTCCCCACTAGCTTGATATGCAGTTCTGTCTAAATGCCACAGCTCACTCAGTAGTCCAGCATTAATCCTACTTATCTAGTGCCAATAGTCCCACTATTTTATCAGTTACCAATTTTATCACAAAAGCATGCCACACGTTGTTACATTCCTTCCTTGTTAGCCATCTGTTTCAGCATATGGCAGTTCAATGTGAAAACCAACTTGCAGTGGTCAGCATTATTACATTTTTTCCATGTTTTCTCTCAAAAATTCACCTCGGTTGCACCATAACTTCATTATAAACAGGTTATGGTGGTTACCCATTTGCAAGCAGAGATGCTTTTTCCTCTGTGGTACCGTATTGTATGTTGAAGGTACCTTCATTCTAACATTTAAGTTAAAGTGGTCACTGACAGAAACACCACATTCTAGAGCTACAGTACATCACTGAAATCCAGAAGACAAACAAACAAACATGGACCCCATAAAACCGAAACCTTCATTTAACTGAAATGGCTGATAGGCTGTCACCTGCACAGTTTGAGCTTCTAATACATTTCCACAGTCCCTGCTTACAATTCTATTAGCAGGAAGTGATAATGTCTAATAAATACAGAAACATTCTGGGAAGAAGAACAAATTGGTGTAGCATTTTGCAGAGCTGCTGAACAGACCAGCCCCAAAGACTCCACCTGAAATCCAGCCAGCAGACAGCGACTTACATGTTGGCAGGTTTGAGCCAAGAAAGGAAGAGATTCACAAGGCCATCCAACAGCTGAGGAATGGCACGTTTGCAGGTCCAGACAGGCTAATTACCTCCCATCTCCATAAAATAAAGACTGCCTGACCAGGAAGACATCAGTTTAAAAACCCTAGTCTGCACTGAAAAATTGCCGTTTGTGAGTTGATCTGTAGCTCAAACTTGAAAACTCACCAGCACAGTCATTCAGGATAAGTGTTCATATAGAACTTCAAACTAGTTAAATAATATGATGCTAACGTACCTGCTCCAAGCTGAGCCACCTCCTCCAATTCTTTCTTGGTCTTGGCAGATGCAATGGCCTCTGGGAGTTTGAGTGTGAAAGGCAATACATCCCTAAGTTAAAGAAAAACAAAATAATAAAAGGTTTTTGGTACTTAGCTAGTGCGTCTCATCACCATGGTTACAGTGAAGCATGATATCCCCTAACAAAAGTGATGATTTTGGTTGGCAAAACAAACAGACAAAGAAGAACACCAGCAGAGAAGTAGTCCATCTCTATAGTAGTGATTAGGTAACAGTAAAAACTCTGTGTTTCCATCCAACACAATTGCCCTCTATTTCCTGTATCCATTTTTTTTAAAGTCCTGGTTCTCCCGTGCTGGCTTGAGCTAAAAACCAGAAGTGAGAGCACTGAGAGCTTACTCAACAAACGTTATTTCCATCCATGGCGTCTCGATCCTTGCACGACAGACAGAAACAGAAATGCTAGTTATGTTAATGTGAGTTACCTGCTAATGCAGTAGAAAGCTACCAGGCGAAACAGATCTGCAAAACCGATTCCAGCCCCCTCCAGAGAAAAGGCTGCAAACAAATGGAACACATACAGAATGAATTAAAATATATACACTAAAACTTTATTAGATTTAGTTGCCCACTGTCCCAGTCCTCAAGCAGGGGCATACCCCTGGCACAGAGCTTAGCAACATGGTTCAAATTCCTCTTCAACCAATATGGTCATTGTTTCATGGAGGTACCCCTACACTGCCTTTGGAGCTGGGTGATCTCAGGCCTCTGGGCTGTCTTATATGCATTTCACCACACTCCATCAGCTTTTAGTTTCTACGTAAAACCACATTCAAAAACAACTTATCCTTCTTAATTAGGTGTTTCAATTAGTTCGAAGAAAGAATGTGCATGTTAATGAACAAAGTGACTTTAAAAGGTACTGGTGACCAGTGGGTTTTTTTTTTTGTCAAGGTCAAAACATTCCAGCAGAAGGCTAAGCTGCTACAGCGGGCTGTGGAGGATGGGAGGCCAACTGGAGAGCAGCTGGCCCCCAGCAAGGCCAAACTAGGCCAGAGGCACGCACGTCCCTCCCATGTGTGCTGTCATTTCAGCAGGGAAAATCCACAGCTGCTATGTCATCACTCTGGCACAGTCACAACTCCATGACTAAACTCCCAATACTGAAACCCAACACTTTCTAGGACTAAACACTCCGATACCATAAGCACTGTAACAACTGAAAGTACTCTATATAATTTTGTTGTACACTAATGAAATTACAATTGTTAAACACTAGAATAAAATGGTCTAACAGCACTTGTTTTAACTGCAGTGTTCATGATACAAATAAATATTCAATAAAGTGTTCATGATACAAAACTGAGACCACAACATACAAACAGATGGTCCATGGTGGAACGAGAGGCTAAATTGTAAGTGTTTTGGATAAAAGCACTATATAAATGAACCATACTTGTTCAATGCAACTAGTTGCTGCTGTTTAAACAGATATGTGACCCAGATGTATTGTTAGTGCCATACAAAGAAAGTTACCGCTATTATTTTTAAGTGAGTGAGGTCACATCTGCTTAGGTTAAATGTATTATCAGTGAATGTTACCTCACCCACATCCCATTGCTTCATCCCAGCAATTCTGTGTGATAGCTGCATTAAAACAGCAAATTAATTGTATTCTGCTGTATCTTAAGAATCAACATGGATTTAATCCTCATGCTAAACACTAGAATAAAATGATGCAAGTAATACAAAGGCACAAGCTGATGTTCCTGTAATCACACTCATATTTCCACTTGTGTATGGGTTTATCTCTGTACATGGTGTGCAGAGGCAAACAGGAAATGTCATTTTGAAATCTTGACGTAGAGTACAGTGTGTTTGAATGACACATAACCAGGAGACCAAAGGAAACTAAAAGAGCATGATTTCTGATGCATCTAGGCCACTACAGCTTCTGAGATAACATGAATTAACTTGCGTGATTATTTATGTAACTGTTGCTTTAATACGGTAGATTGTATTGTGTTCATTAACCTGTTAACCTGTCTGCCAAGTGTGCTGCTAGTTTCACTCAGCTAATGCAAATAATTCTCATACTTGAGGTAAATTTCATTGAGTAGCATATTATAATCTTTCTGAAGGTTAAAAAGTTTGAATATTTTTCTACTGACATTCTATTTGGCAGCTCATGATTATATCCTGATGTAATCATCCCCACCCACATATACTACATGTATTGTGCAGTCAGTTAAAACAAACATGTTACTGACTGTACTGGCTCTCTCTGACAGGGAAGTGGCGGATGGGGCTTCCTGATTGATCCTCCTTCACCCGCACAGACAAAACCTTCCTCTGCAGAGCAGCTGACTTCCTGACCAGGAATACCTGCATCAGAACAGAATCAGAAATCATAAAATATAAAGCTCTCAGATATGAGAAGGTGACATCTGTATCCTAGCATGGTAACCACTCACCCCTGGTGGCTGTTTGAGGAGTATGTGACTGGCCTCCATTTCACTGACTGCAAGAAGCAGCCACACTGGGTGGGTCTGAGTCAGCCGGTCCAACACGCTCATCCTCCTTCGCAAGGAGTCGTACCCAGAGTCCCTCTCACCCCCCTCCCTGCCACAGTGGGGGGACATCAGGTAAACCTCGCTCTCCATCCTAATAGCCAGAAAGAGAAAAGGTCAAACCATTTCTGCCATCTGCTGGTGAAAATGAGCACCAGTGTGAATATGTTGTTACAAACACTGTTTGGAACAAAATCCGATTTAACATAATGCAAAACTACACAGAACAAGCTGATGGAAATATGTTTATGTTCTGCCTCAGCAAGTTAACATTTCCAGGTATTATCAGGAAAAAAATCCAGATTAGATTGGTTAAAGTTTTGTTTAAGAGTAGAAGAAATGTGCAGAAAATATCTTTACCCCTGTAGTTCCTGGGCCTTCTTTTCCGTGATGGGAGAGGTCTGGACCATCTCCTTCTTCAGCTCCCAGATCTCTGATGCAAATGTGTCAATCAACTGGAATATGACAGAATGAGAGGCTTTGACTGGTGAAGAAATACAAGAAGGAGAAGAGGAGAGGGAAGAGCAATAAACGAAACCAACAGAATTGCTCAAACATAAATTACCAAGAAACGAAAGCATTGGGATGGACAGAGTGTATTGGTCAAAATTAGAACAAAGGGCAGGGAAACGGTCAGTCTTCCTGTGTGTGAACCTCATTTCCAATAGGAAGAAAACATGGAGGCAAAGCACTGTCAAAAAAACAACCCACATCGACATTCAGAGTGTGACGACACATTTCCCAAGTTGCAATACAGAGACGCACACATATATTCTTATTCATTGTGACTCAAATGATAATACAGTTTCTACAATAAACACAGCTGCGTGAGGGGACACAAACACGTGGATGAATCAGCACAGGAATCCCTGTAAGCATGCC